GTATAAATTCGAGGAATTAAAAAGCTTTGAACGTAGAAGGGAAAATACACGCGTCAATCTCCGACAATTCAGCATTACCGATTGTTATTATATTTAATCAGGTTTGTTTGTTTGTTTGTTTGTTTAGCCTGCAGTGGCTCGTAACAAATATTTTCTGCTGTAGGGTAGAGGGCATTGTTGGATCTTCTAGTAACGCTTCAGAGCTTAATGACTCAGGAGATCAGGCAGCGGATAGACAACAGCTGGAACAAGAAACCATACCCGAGTCAAGTACGTCACGATACGGACGGAAAAGGACACGAGTACTCCGAGAAAATTATGTGCCATGGAATAATATACATGTAGACACCCAGTAACCTTGTAAAACTAGTACCTGCACCGAATTAAAAGAAACAAGTTGAAAAGAAAAAACTTAGCCTGTTAAAGAAAAATGGAAAATAACATCACAAAAGTCTCCATTAAAAATTCTGGAAAAGGTGTGACCCTCCCCTTGAATAGCTGAAAAAGAGGGTATGGCCCTCCCCCTTTGGTGCTCACTTTCACTTTTTTTGCCTTTCCAGCGGAGATGTACGTCACTACATTTTCGTACCATATGTTTCCAAATTATGTCTTTGCGTGCACGACGTAATTAAGAGCAAGCATTCCTTAACGGTGCAAAGGCGCACTCAGTTACTGTCCCTAAGTTACAAAGGAAAAAAATGAAAAGAAAATATATTCTCTACTCAATGAGGTGAAGATAATCACCCCTGGTACCAAAATGGACTCGGGTGTTCTCTCTTCATAGCGTATTCCGAAACTTCTGATATCTAAGTTTTAGCAAACTCAGCTTTGCAATAAAGCAGTATGGTACCCTAAAGTCCGCTATCTACGCTTGATGGAGACTCTTCCGTGAAATAAACGATTTTATTTTAAAAAAACGCTGTTTGTTCATTCATTTACTGATCCAATTACAGCAGTGACCTTTAGCACATTATCTATAAAACTGAAGGGATTGCTTGAGAATGATTTGGGGCAATGATAATATGAAGCTCACCCTGGGCCTAAAGGTCTGCTGCTGTTCGCCACACTGATCTGCAGATCAGTGTTGCGTGTGTGGAAACTCTGCAAATTTTATATTTGCTTAGCAATTAAGAAAAAAATGTAAATATGCAAAGATGTCTCATTAAAATGTAAAAAAAGTAACTTGGGAAACACGATAATGTTGTGACGAACATCTCCGTCGGAAAGAATATAAATGTAAGCGTAAAAAAAATAAATAAAGGGAAAAACAGTAGGTCTGCACAATAAAAAAAACAATGAATGTCTCGAGCAATAAGGAAAAATGCAAAAAGTATTGATTTCAATGGATGATATGCCATTTTTAATGACGGTTATTGTCGGAGTTAAACACATATCGTTGACGGAGCTCCATCACGCAGTGAAAACTTGCGATAATCCCTCATTCTACTATTACCTCCAAAAAGACTGAGATTGATCGTGAATCAGGCTCTGTGCCCTTAATCCGCGTTTTTGTAGTGCGTGGAACGCGATCCGTGCGTGTGCGGTCAACTACCTTCCCATGTATGTCTGCGTGCACGAAACCCTTTATAAAAGCGGACATTTTCATTTCCCTTTTTTTAAAAGATTCAATGTTTTTATTTGTCTTTCGCTTTCAATGGAAAGTTGTGTTTCAACTCACATTTGAAGGACATATGCAAACTCTAAATTTTAAATAACGGAAATTTAATATCTTGGTAAAAACGATTTCAATGGCTCTATAAACAGAAGGAACAGAATTAAACAGAAGATAATGCTTAATATCCTTGTATAAACGATATCAATGGCTCTATAAACAGAAGGAAACAGAAGATAGTGTTTTTTCATAAAGGCCTTGATTTCTATTATTGCTTCGCATATCATGAAGTGAAATGAAATTGATCATAAAGCTTTAAGAGAAAAAAGGAAAATGAATACCGTTGATCACTCAAACTGAAAGAGCGTATTAAATTCGTTGCCAATGTTGAGTTAGAAGATTTTAATAACACTCATTGTTCAGTTGAAACTTCTTTATTTCCTTTCCTAAAACTCAATACAACGAGCCAGCT